AAAAGAATCAAAACATGGATCTCGTTTTTAATTATTTATGTATTATTATTTCAGTCATGTCTTATTTAATGACACATTGATACACGACACACGAACACCTGTATTAGAGGGAATGGTGAAATTGTTTCCTGGATGCCAAAATAGCAGTGATTAGCAGACATTTCTGGATTTAGAGTATATTTCCCTAACATCAACAGTGACCTGAGATTATCATCGGACAAATTTGTTCTCAATTTGTTCTTCACGTATTTCGTTCTTGAAAATTTTCGTTCACACAGGTATGTTGTTCCAAAGTTTGAAAGATACATTGATGCAAATGGTTTTAAATTACGAAAGTCTTCCTTCGGCGAAAACTAGTTAAAAACCCACCGGTCCTTCTTTTAACTTGTCCCTAAGGTGGTCATTTGCTTGCAACTCAATGACCTCCAGGTGCAGTTTACCTGAGAGGCTGGCTACATCTGCTTCAAATGGGTTTTGAAAAGGTGTCACTTCTTCCGCCTTTAAATCCAAGACAGAAAACCGCTGCTGACACTGAAGCAAGGGGTCTTTGATGATCTCGCATCCAAATGACGTCGGGAACTCAGCTGTTGCTTCAGCCATGAAGACTTTACTCTGCTGAAAGTGTGTCAAGTTGTTGGCCTGTGCTTGTTCCAAAAACAAGACGAATTTGGATCTGAGGGCCTTTAGAAAGGTGCATAGATCAGAAACTAGATTTTCCTCTCCTTGTAGTTTTAGATTCAGAACATTGAAAGGCCTAGCTATATCTGCAGCAAAGACCAGTTTCCATATACACTCTTCATCAGACACTATTGGCTGTGGTTTGCCTTTACTTTCCAGGAAGTCATCTATTTCCTTTCTTAACTTAAATACTCTACTCAGAACTTTCTCACAATTTAGCCATCTTATTGCTGTGTAATATGGTAAATCTTGGGATTCTGTGACTGCATCTTCCAACAGGTCTCTGAACTGTCTATGGTTGAGCCCATCTGACCTTATTAAATTAACCCTCTTTACCACAGGATTCAGTCACTGCTAATGTCCACATATTTAGTACACAAAGCTTTCTGCTGAATTATTCATTGCAGGATCATTGGTTGCAGAATTTTTTTCTCATTACACATCTGCTTCACTTGTCCAACCAAGCCTGTCTTTTTGCCACTCATGTTATTTCCTCCATCAACAGTCACACAACTGAGGTTAGTCCAGTCCAAGTTATAATCAGCAATTTTTTTTTCAACTCATTGAATATATCCTCTCCAGTAACAGTTCCGTACATGCTATGTAGGAAAGCTAGCTCTTGTGTTATGTTCATGTCTTCATCCACACCTCTAACGAACACAAGCACTTGAGAGATGGAACAGTTGTCCAGCTATTCATCCATTGCAATTAAAAATTGGCGAATCTTACTTGCATTTTTCGCTATTTGAGTCACAATGTTTTCACCCATGTCTGCAACAGCGGGCAAAGCTCCGCCACTATATGGCGTTGTATCATTTCATTGACTGTGAACGGAAGTAGAAAAACTAGGCAGGGAATAAGGTTTTGCCAAGTAATGATCGGTCAGAAAACATAACGCACTACTGCGTGCCTCTAGCATTAGATGGAAGAACGCAGACCCTTAGTGATCACATCCTCAACGGTGTACAATGGACAATGGAAACGTTCTCAGAAGCAAGTGCGAGTGATGGGTCACGCTGATAACTGTAGTGACCAAAAAAATTTTAGTTGCAAAGCTAATACTTAAACTCAGGAAGGCATAGACAGCAGGAAACACCATTTTTATGTTGAGAACATGAAGAAACATATCGCCCTGTAAAAAAAAAATAATAATATTCCCCTCTTATATATTTTTTTTTTAATTAAAAAAATGCAAAAGAGCCATTGTAGATCTAGGGAGGAATGAACAGATATTGAAATTTAAAAAAAAAGTGTATTAATAATCACACCCTGCCTCAGAGGCGTAGCGAGGGGGGCAAGGGGACAGATGTCCCCGGGTACAAGCTAGTTAGGGGCGCCAAGCCAAAATGTGCTTTGATATTGTATTTTTGGTAAAAATAATGGGTTTGGGAGTTGAAAAAAAGAAAAGGGGGCGCTTTAAAATGGATCTTGTCCCGGGCGCGAATATTGTCCCAGGGCGCCAAACACCCTCGTTACGCCTCTGTCCGCCGCCTTCAACCTGGGTTAATTCCCCATTAGTATTAGTGAGCTGCATTTAATCTGTTAGTCCCTCTCCCTTTACGAACATCTTGACATAATGAGATTAAACTCCCTTTTGACAAACTAAAAATTTGTTCTATTTGTAATCTTTATTATATAGACTTAGGAAAATCGCGTAGTAGGCCTACTATTAAATTATATTGTACCTGCCAGTAGACATGCATTAGCTGCGATTGATTTTCATCCCCCAACGCCCACCCTTTTAAAAATAAAAATGTGTTTAATTAAGGAACGGTTTTCGGTTTGCTTTTTCTCTCTTCTAAATCCACTTTATCAACGTCTAACAAGCTGATCTCTTTTAAATCCACTTTATCAACGTCTAACAAGCTGATCTCTTTTAAATCCACTTTATCAACGTCTAACAAGCTGATCTCCTATTAAATCCACTTTATCAACGTCTAACAAGCTGATCTCTTTTAAATCCACTTTATCAACGTCTTACAAGCTGATCTCTTTTAAATCCACTTTATCAACGTCTAACAAGCTGATCTCTTTTAAATCCACTTTATCAACGTCTTACAAGCTGATCTCTTTTAAATCCACTTTATCAACGTCTGACAAGCTGATATCTTTTTAAAAAGAACAAGTGTCGAGAACAAGTCCATTTATCCATAGGCCTACATTTAATTAACATATAATGTAAAATGAGATTTTTTGACTCAACAAAGGCTCCACTTTGAAAGGACGATGCAGGATGGAGGAGCACATTTATTTATTTATAATTTAATTTATTACTTTAAGTAAAGGATATAATTTAAGTCTATTATAGATTTGTTTCAGGGGAGCTGCTGATATTATTAACCCAGTTATTATCTCAATGCCTTGGAATATTGACAGATTTAGGCATGAACTAGGTCATAGAAAGCAGAGATTTAGATCTGCAAATAAGTCTTTCCAGTGTAAGAGTGAGTTCAAGAGTGACGCCATTTGTCAATTTCAGAGATCAAGTTTAGAATTTTAAGAAAAATATTAGTAGCCCTCGCGGCAGACACAAAGATTTTATATTTCGTGGAATATCTAGAGCTATTTACTTAAATTAGGCCAGGTGTTAAAAAGTAATTTTCCACAGCCTGTTACTGTTACTAATAATAAAAATATTTATCATTCACAATAAATTCAACACTCATTCAACAGTATAATTCCAAAAAAACAGATATGTTGTTGGTAATTTGATTAATTTATTTTTTTTGTATCTATAGGCTCTTCTATTTTAATTATTTCCCAAATGAGTTTAACATCAAGATAAAGTCTAACATATATTAGAAAAAGCTAACAATAAAATTTAGTACAAATAAAATTAATTTAACTTCATTGTGGTCAGAAAGTAAGTTAACCAATTGAACAATTTTATTAATACCCAGTGCACAAGATCTTTTAAGACTTTAATAAAACTTGCAACATTTAAATTATGGATATCACAGAGAAAAGTCAAATCAATGCTTAATATCATTCATAAAGAATTTTTAAAAATCCTTTTCAAGTAAAAAAGGATTAACATTAGAGTATTTCATTTTAGAACCAACAAATCCTGATTTAAAAAATATTACATTAATTTTGAAAAATAAATAATGATTTATCAAATATTTTAAGAATTACTTCATCCTAACATATTTAACAAGAAACAAGTGCTTATAATTCAATTATGTCAGCTTTATGATGTTTTAAAAAACGCTAAATTAAAATGACCCTAAATACATTTGTATGCGGTTATGTAAATTCATAATTTGAGATGTTATTTATGTAGTGCAAAATAGTTCAGCCCATTTAACTGAAAGTAGAAAATGCATTAATTTAAATGTATTTATGCTATTCTATATGATATCTGCCTTCAAACGGACAGTAATTAAATTAATGGTATAGCCTTGGGTGAATAACTCAATGACCTTCTTGAGTTTATAAAAACATCAATGTCACATGTAGCATACATATATTTTTTAAAGATGGATATTTTAAATCTTCAAAAAATCTTTTCATTTAAATTGAAAGCCTGAAAATTTCCTATCCTAAACTTTCTAATGCAAAGTGCTATATTTCTGAAGAACATAACATATATATCTCATTTGGAGTGCTCTATAGGAACTGTGTCAACTCATGGTATAGTCTTAGATTCATGCATGGTATGGTACTTTTGTGTCTTAACTCTTTTGGTTGTTAGAATTGGAGAAAGTGAAAAATTAATTTTTAAAACTGTAATCATAATCTCTCCCCACATCCATCTTTGTGTCTGTACTATATAATAGAAACAAGTAACATCAATTATAAATAATTTAATAGTATAAAAATATTTCTGCAGTTATGTAAACATTAAAAGGTGGACGGAATAAATGGCTTGATATAAAACAATTACATAAGATTTAATAAAGTATTTACACTTAGAGCATAATTTATGAATAAGTGTAATGCAACCAACAGCTTTAAGATGTTGTGCATCAAACAAAATTAATAAAATTTAATATTTATTGGGTATACATTTTATAAGGTACTTGTGAATAGTATCTAATATTGGTAAGGATGTAAAGGAGATTCCACATGTTATACTATTTTGTGGGGGAAAGGGGGGGGGGGGCGCTGGATGCTTGCAGAGCTCAGATTACCACAATAAATTTACCCAGTTTAAACATCTGAAATAAATCGCTCTTAAATTAGAACACTTATAGCTATTTCCGGTATCATCCAAAAAAATTATTCCAATAAAAATGAGTATAAAAACCTTTATTTGGCTATCTGGTGGGATTCAAAAAATGTATAATCAAATCGTGTCCTTTGAATATTAAGATCAAGTTAAATAACTAAGCTATCAGATTTACATTTCATATTAAAATTTTAATTCAGCAAAACAACAGTGACGAAAAATAATTTTAAATAATTCATTTTTAACGATAATAAATCAGATGTTTCAATACATGAAACATAAGTTAAAAGAAAAAACAACAAAAATATAAATAAATGCAGCGTCTGTCCTTTTAAAAGATTTATCAAGTTGTCCTTGCTTTGGAGAAAGTGATATTTTTTAAATAATAAAGAATTTAAATAATATGTCTTGGTTCCTGAGAAAAAGTTATTGATTTACATTATTGTTCCAAATATATCTCTCTCCAAAAATTTAGTGAATACCAAATGTTGGTTTATGGTTTGATCTTAGATAGGACTATTTCACAACAAAGAAACAAATATGAAGCTTATTATATATTTAAAAAAGGAGACGACTTAACATTTCATAACTTAAATGCAGACAGAAAATCCCAATTCTTTGTTTTATCAATATTACAAATTGTTGAGACAAAAATGACAGAAGTATCAAGTTTTAAAGGGAAATTATTTACTCGATAGTGAAATCTTTCATTCTTTAAAAATCAATAAAAGGTAACCATTAAAATCTGTATCATCCATTATATAAATTAATAATACATAAAAATATTAACTTGCAAAAAGGTTGGAAAAAAACAACATTATATTGTCATTATTAATTATTTTCAAGAGTATTTTCAGCAATGACATTTCATTATTAGAAGCTTGCTGATTTTAACTCCGCTTATGAGATAATTACTTATAGTTAACTTCATTTTTTAAAGAAAAAAATTAACATAAATATGACTAAAACAAATAAACTTCAAGTCTTAGCATTGTTACTCTCATCACAGAAGACCTGAGTTTAACACTTTTATTCAGTGGTCTGCTAGTAAACAATATCCCCAGCATCACTGTCATCAAAGTTGGGGAACCTTCTAACATTATAATCATTGTCAACAGCTGGTAAGTCTTCAGCCAGTCCCCACTTTGCTCCAAAATCTGTTATGATGTATAAATAATATAAGTTTAATATTCAAACATCAGTAGGGATCAAACATGGTCAGTGGCACTGATATTATTTTATTTTATATTCAATTTTAATGGTAATTATTAAAATCCCAAATATCAAACTTGGGATGATGTTTATTAATTTTTTGGTGATGTGTTTTAGGTGCCTTTCAATTTATTTTTATTTAAAACACAAACAATGTTCCTATAAGTGCCTCTGTAATTTTTGCAGTTGAACAGTCTGGTCTAACAGTACTTGAATTTGTAATAAATGAAGGACAGTGTTCAACTGTGTGAAGGAAATAGAGGAACAAGTTATGTGGAAGCTTGAAATAGAAAGACATGGCAATAAAAGAAGAACGTTTTGGCTAAGAGTCTTCCTCAGCAGACACTCAAAACCAAAAATATTAGCCTCCCTAAGGGTAGTTTTACTATCAAAGAGGACTTCACGTGTTAGTCAAAATGCAATAAATGTGATTGTGTGGCCAGGTGCCGCTCCTGTTATAAGGGTGAAACTGGAAGAAGATTATCAGATAGGTTCACTAAAAATCTTTGTGATATTGAACAGGGCAAACTTTCTGTGGTCTCATCCCATTTCAACGGAGATAAAAACAAAGGGATATCAGATGTTTCCGTCACTAACACACCAGTGACAGAAAGGAAAACAAATTAATTTAGCGTTTCTGCATAATATCACCATATGGATCAGTCAAATTCTTCCTTATTAGTGATCCTCAATTTCCCTGTTTTTCTTTTCTTATTTTTTATATTTTACATTTTTCCTAAAAATTATTGTCTGTTAAAATCTTATTTTTCACATTAATAATACATACATAATTTTTTTTAACTTCCTGTTAACTTAGTTCCTGTCTTCTGTGGAAGGGTTTTAGCTGAAATTTTATTCTTTTATTGTTCTATCTTTCCATACCTTGTGTTCTTCTGTTTTCTTTAATTTGTAACATGTATAAAACCATATGAAATAATGTTAAAATGACTCCAGGATGGGACAACTGCCCTTATCTTGCCTCTCATTGAGAATGCCAACAAAAGTGATTCTTGCAAGAATGAACAACCTTTTGAGTAATTTGAGTGGCCTACGAATAGAAGCGTTGAACACTCCTAATTTATTTAAAGACATTTTTTTTAATAAATGAAATTCTAATTCATTTTTAAATTTACTTATTTATTAAAATACCAATTTTGACCTGAATCATGAGATATGTTCCGGTGGAACTGAGTGAGTTTTGAACTGCTTTTCTTCACAGGAGTTTCATTGTCAGATGAGTTTCTTGAGCCTCTCTCCTGGACCATTCTAGGGGAAGTAAACTTTTCACTAAAAGCAGAATCAGCATCTTCATCATCGGAGGGTGCAAGCTTATTTGAGCGCAATAAATTACGCTTCTTCTTTCTTTTGGTCTCTGATCTGTCTGAGGTTTCACCTTTAAGAGATCTCTCCTCTGCCAAAAGAAATACAGAAATATACCATGTAATAATATAAGATATAAGATGGTTAAATATTGGTTTAGAAGAAAAACTAAATATTAAATACTGATGAAATTGTAAATAATTTTTTTTTTCCTTCAGTATTTGTAAAACTGTCCTCTTTTAATTCTTATTAAATGTCGCATCTTAATTCGTATAACTGTTCTATTTTAATTCTAATTACTGGCTTATTTCAATTCTAATGGCTCTCTTATAATTTTAATTCTATTAACCGTCTTAATAAAATTCTAACAATTATTTTATTTACGGCATAATAAATCTTTTGTTTCAATAATAAAAACTACTACAATTCTTATAATAAGGTTAAAATTAACAAAACTAAAACTAACCTTTTATTGGTACTGGTGAGAGTTTACCTCGTGACAAATCCTGTTTACCTTTTCTGTATATTTTTTCATCTTCCTCTGTAGGCATATTTTTATGGTAGCCATTGTGGCTTCCCTTGGTAAGTCCACTGAGATGGCGCTGCTGTAACTCTCTAATCTCTTGCTGGAAATCTCTTGGTGCTTCTTCATCTCTTGGGCTGCGAGGAAAACGGAGTGTGTCCTTAAGCGCATTGTGTAATTCATAGGTATCATTTTCTTCATCACTCTCTTGTATTCTATGGTCCCTTTCCTTTGTCAACTGCTTTGAATTTTTGCCCTTGCTATTTTTGGATGCCAAAACATTATGAAAGTCCTTGTCATCGCCATCCACCCTTTCAGTGATTTCATCCTTCTCTTCGTCAAAACTATGCAGATTAGGTGGATTGACATGCTTGAGGGTCCTGCGATACACAGAATCCTCCCTTTCCAGATCCCGGGGAAATGTTTCAAAACCTTTCTTAAAATTAATTTCATTTTTTGCTTTGTTTGGCAAGGTACTGTCATCAAATTTTAAAGGTTTCAGAGCAGTTTTCTCTCGGTCATCTAGATCGTTGTATAGTTGCATGTGTCTAGATTCAATATCAGGGTAGGAATTAATTTCATCTTCCTCTTCGTCTATCCTTTTGCCTTTCACAACTTTTGTTACCTTGGGTTTAGCAATGCGAGGTGTAAGATCGTGCACTTCAATCTCTCTGCTCCACAAACCAGATTTAGGTGGCTGCAGTGTTAGTCTACTTGTTATATCATCTCCATGGTTACCATCATCATTGAACGTCAAATTGTATTCAGTGAGCTTCTTCTTCTTTCTTTTCTTTTTTTCAACAACCAACTTCTCTTGGGATCGAGAATTCAGTGGTTCTAAGGGAGGTAAGGCTGGGCCCCTATTGTTTCGACTCAAGAAGTTTATAGCTGAAGGCTTAGTCTCATTCCCATCCATGTGAAGAACTCTTGTGTCGCCAAGATCAAAACGAGTCATGTCCAGTCTTTGACTAGACATCAGCGATCCAGGAGTTTCATCAGCGGTGCGTAAGTTAGAGTCATCCCCATGAGTTTTTCTCTTTTCTTTCAGGCGTTTTTCTTCTTTCATTAACTGCTCCTGTAAAAGCAAACACAATTAAGTGTTTAGTGCTGTTGTCCAAATAAATGTTCATTACATGAAAAGTGAATCGTTTTCTGATTTATCTATTTATATTTCCTCTATGTAAATCAGGTCTTACATTAAAATTACTGAAGCTATTAAAAAAAAAGTGTTCACTTATTAACCTAACTAATGATTCTCATGGTTGTGTCACAACCCTTATCTATGGTAGATCATAAATAAAAGTTTTTGATTTGCCAAGCATCTGCCTTCAGGTTTAAATATGTTAGAAACACACCAACCTTTTTTTTCAACTTATCCAAGTCCAGGGCCTTAAATGGGTTCCCATCAACAATATCCTCCTCTTCACTCTCTTCCTTCTTCTCTAGACCAAGTGCTGATCTCTCAAGTTCCTCTGCCTTTTCTCTGTTAATGTTACAACATTTAAGTATGTTTGCCTTGTTTTTAAATCATTTTTTTTTCTATTTCTTCGAAAATGTGTATGAGAGAACACAACTTTTAGATGGAATATAAAATTAAATTAAACATCTTAGAAACAGAAGATTGCATATTCTTTAATCTCTAAATTTTTTTTAAAGTATGGTATCCCAAAGAAAAGAAACAAAATTGGCTGAAGAAAACGAAAAGGAAAGACTTTTACAAACAAAAACCTCAAACAAATATTTGTTCAAATAAGATAAATGTACCTCTCCTCCTTTTGTTTCTTAACTCTGGCCCTACGTTCCTCCCTTTCTTTGTCTCTCTTTTCCTTAGCTTGTCTCATGTCCTCCTGTATCCTTGGCTCTAGAGTGCTCCAATTGGTACCAATATTTCCCAAGAGCCAGGTGAGTCCTTCTTGGATCTCATTGTCCATTTTAGTTCCAACTCCTTTTAGGGCTGACACCATTACCTATCAAAAGCCATAGTCATTTGCCAGTTAAGAATATTATTTAAATTTTGATGAGATAATGCAGGGGTCTCAAACTTGTGGCCTGCGGCAATTTGCAGCCCGCAAGACGATATTTTGCGGCCCGCTACTTAACAGCAAAGTTTAGTGTTAATGGGGCCTGCTCATTTTCCCCATTCTCATATCTCTAATGTGACCCTCCGTGACAGTTTCAGTTGAATCTCACTAGTCTAATTCTGATTTTTATTATGTTTGTATAGCTTTGGACTTTTATTATGATGGTAAAGACCGTTTTAAAGCAGACAAACTTTTTTTATAGCATCTTATGAGATAAACATGGCCAAAGTGCGGTTTTGAGAAAACAAGCTTCGAATATGGTATGTACATATGTCAAAAGTTTAAAAAGTCAGTTAGTGGGTAATGCACAACCATAATTGTGTAAATTGTAGCAATCTGACACAGTATCAAAGAACCCTATTAAAATTGCCGCTAGTGTGTACAAGGGAGGAAAATTCGAGCCTGTTAGCTGGGACTCTATTTCAAAGTAGGGTTAGTCAAAAGGCCTTTTCCATGATGAAAAATAAATCAAAATTCATTCTCCCTCCCTTTCGCATCAATAATTCATAAATATTGCCTGCCCATGCCTTCTGTTTGAACACGTTTTATAGTTATGCTTTATAGTTACGCATTGCCTTATTTTTATTTTATTCTTTTTTGTCTTAACAATAGGTCATCATTTTCATAGCATTGATAAGCTGAATATTTTTTCAGATCACCGGGAATTTTATTTTATTATTTAGGATATAATGCCATTAACAATGATACACAATGTGACGGCCTAGTTCTTGAGAACCCTTAATGTTCTTATTTGTTATTAACAAGGGTAACAGTTGTACTTTATTGAATTTGTAATCCCTTTTTTGCGGCTCAGTCTCACCCAGACTCTAACTCCTGCGGCCCCTGGATAATTTGAGTTTGAGACCCCTGAGATAATGTAAGTGATAAAATAATTGTAAACACATTTTAGCAAGGCTTGAAAAAATATTGATACTCTACCAGCTTAGAAGGGCATTTGTTGTCATTGACAGTTTTCTCTAGATCAAGCCCATTTACTAAATCCAGTTCTTTCAAATGGTCTTCCTTGTCCACTTTGTTAGCCAGGCTGTGGAAACGATGGACAGAGGTGAGAAATCAATTATGACATATTAATTCCTACTTGGCAAGTTTTTACTCCTACCAGCAATTAACAGCAACAGATATGCGTACAGTTATACAAACTTCGGAACGGGTTTAAAGACCATTGTAACGCATGCTCTGACACCATTGTAACACATGGTGTGACATCATTGTTTCTTAGGGCGTTATGTCAGTAGCATGGTCACTTGTTTTACATTAATGATTCAGGATGCCGGCTAAGACTTCTTCCATTCTTCCAGTCACTTATCCAGTCACGCAAAGAAGTATGCTGAATTCTGGTTAAACTTACAGTACTTTATTATATCACACTTTACACTGATAATATTAATAATAATCCTTGCATGAATGTAATCATTTCTCATATATATATATAATATTCCACCTCTCAGAAAAACACGTCCTCACTCTGCTACAACTCCGCTATAACTCTGCTACCCTCCGCTCTACTATCTCAACTGCCCCTTTTATTACCAGCAAAGCGTGGAAACGACCGCTTTACCAAAAAACATAATTTACTCTCCAAAAACGTGGAGCTCACATTTGCTTCACAAAAATACAATTCACTCTCTCTCCTCGTGGAAAATATGGTCAACACAGTTCACTGTTCACTCATGCTACCTCTCTGGTTTCTTGTGAAAACATGGTCTGTTACAACCACAAACATTCAAAAAGTATAGCCATAAACATAAAAAAAGTATCTTCCTAATGATAAATATGATGACTCTGAACTTATCCATATTCACAAGCACAAAGATAAAAGGTACAACCCACTGTGTTAAACGTAACGGATAGTTTTGTTTGATGGACTAAAAATAGAAATGGTGCTCTGATATTTAAATAATTAGTTTCAGACTTTATGATATTGAGATCAATCTGGAGACAACAGATGTAATTATATACACAAGCTTATCTATATTTACATTAGAACAGGTTTTCCAGAAACCTGTGGATGTTCTAAGGTTTCCTTGAATACTTCTTTGGCTTCTAACAAGCGATCTCGGCTGCTGGAATCCACAACATACATTATTCCAAATACTTCTCCAAAGTATGTCTTCCATATGGGCCTTATGTTCTTTCCTCCACCAACATCAAAAAGAATGATGTCAAAGTTAGAATTGATAAATTTGGCATTGCGAAATCCTACAGTCGGGGCTATATCAGGGTCTATTTGCTCTGTATTAGGAAATATGAGAAGAACAGTGACATAAATTAACTTTGGCATGTAGCCTAATTACTAACATGATTAAACACTCTTGTTTCCACGCTTAGATGAATTGTTACCTGGTATAAAGTTGTTTTTTTTAAAATTTAAACATAACATTATAATTACCCTAAATAGAAAATAAGACATTTCTTTTCAAAGTTTTAGAAATTGTCTCATAAAAGATATTCTGACGTCTACATAACCAATCACGTTACTTAAGAGCCATCAAGGAACTAGCAATAAAAAAAATTGGTTATGCGTTGGAAATCAGTGCAATACATAAATAATACACCCTTTGATACATTACAATATAAATAAATTAAGCAAGGAATTAAAAACGATTTGGCTTCATACCCCCAGCAAGTACACAGGATAGTGTTGTCTTCCCAGCATTATCAATTCCAACTATGGCTAATGTTATAGCTCTGTGAATTTTAATTGAATAAATATTTTTTTAAAGAAAGTCACTGCACATACACAGATATGATATTGCTGCAGTAAGTTTTAAGTACATTTTTAAGCTTTCCAAATTTTTCATGTTGGTGACAAACTATTGTAACAGTTTAAATCATATGTAAATTTTTTTATTGTCAATCTCAGACAAAGCTTATTGGGTTTAGATCATACCCATATTTTTCAACTGAATTCATCTACGACAACTTTCTGACTTTAAATCTAAACAGAACTAAGTTGATGAGTTCTCTATTCTATATGACATATCATTTTAATATAGTCCAATACAATCCAGTTTGTAGAAAATGTAAAAGAAATAGATGGTGTTGCAATATTTTAGGTAAAATAAAATAATGTAGCTCTCAACAGTTAACTCAAATATTAACTACTCTAACTTGAAACAAAGGATTAAGGAATATCGTTTATGGAAACTAATACAAAATCAATTTGCACAAAATCAATTTATGAGAAGGAATGTTGTTCAAATGCAAGTTTATTTGAATAGAAGATTATTCAAAATTTGTAGAAAATGTAAAAGAAATAGATGGTGTGGCAATATTTTAGGTAAAATAAAATAATGTAGCTCACAACATTTAACTCAAATATTAACTACTCTAACTTGAAACAAAGGACTAAGGTATATCGTTTATGGAAACTAATACTAATACAAAATCAATTTGCACTAAATCAATTTATGCGAAGAAATGTTGTTCAAATGCAAGTTTGTTTGAATAGAAGATTATTCAAAATTGCCAACTGCCAACTTTCTTCATCCCTGGCATCACAAAAGAAAAATGTGTGGCTTCAGTTAAAATATAAAAAAAACAATAATATTGTTTAATTAATGCATAGACACTGAGATTGAATTAATTCAAAAGTAGATCATTTACTTCTTGAGTCTTAAGGTTTGATTAGCTGTTTTAAATGAGTTGTTAAGTACAAAAGTAAAATCCAAATCACCTGTTTGGCTCTTTTTTCTTTTTGAGCTGTGAAACACAATTACCCATTGTGTATGCCTTGTTATTTCACATATCAGCTGCAACTGGAAATATGGAATGTTGAATATTACTGTATGTACATTATTAGTGCTATTCATGAGCACAGTCAAATTTTTAACATATTTTCTAAATTAATACTATGAATGCTCTTGGGAAAACCGAAGCAATAATAAAGTGGAAAATTATACCACAGCTGGGTACCAGAGAAAATTAAAATCCCACCACCTCTTAGTTATCAGGTAAACATTTTTAGCAGTGACGTAAGAAGGGGATGCAGAGGGGGCAGTCCACTCTGGCAGTACATATGTCCTTATTTTGATTGGCACCCACCAGTTTTTTTTTCATTAAAGGGGGCGACAAAAATCTTAGCCCACCCCTGGGCTACTAGTCCTAGCTATGTCATTGATTGTTACCCTACCACTTTTTAAATCAATCATAAACTAATAAAATAATGTATGAATTTATAATCATTGTTAATCAATTACTTAGTTATTCAATAACTAAATTTGGTTAAAATTTATGTTATGTTTGAATCCTAGAGAAAATTGATTTTAATAGTATTGAATTTATTGACAGTAACTGCCTAAAATACATTATGTCAGTAACATTGATATTTGTAAGAAAAACTTGACACTAGTCCACTCATCAAAACTGTAGGCCTATATTTAAATTGATGACCATTATTATTTTTAATTGTGTCTGTGGTTGCCAACTATGTGCTACATCTGGGTGCAGAGATGAAAATATTTTAATTTATGTGAGGCCTATACATCTTAAGAATTAAATATATGTGATATGTCTTTATTTCTTTTTAATAGAGGACTACATATCAGTATCAGTGCTTAATTAACATTCCCCAACAAACTGCTACTAGAAAAATGGATGAAGTTTTAGTTTTGTATGATAACACAGTGCAGCCATGAAACTATCGTCATCAACGTAATGGAAATCAGTCTTAATTGATATTTATTACATATTAGGCCAATGTTTTTTGGTACAAAAAAACGTGCCAGAACTCTAATTTTATTTTAACCCCTACATTACCACTAGGTTGTGGACATCGATTTTTGCTGACTCAGCAATAAAAAAAGTTCTTCTTTTTTTATTTTTATAAAAATAAATATATATATATATAAATATACCCAAAAAAATTTTAAAAAGATGAAATTTTCGGTATATTTCATTCTCTATCCGATTCGCTTTTTTTACTTCTCTATATATTGACGTATAAGGAAATATATAGCATTGAAATTTGAGGTCGACGTGACGTCCTTGGTATTTCAGAAAAGTTCTTTCACTTTTTGTTATGATGACACACGTTGACAACCTTGGTAATTGAAAGTGGGTGACCGCGACATCGCGTAAATGTCATCAGTAAGGAAGTGGTTAAAAATAATTAAATTCTGCTGAAAATATGAGTCGGAACTATGTTCTGACTTGTTCTTTGGGTACTTTGGCAAAAAAAAAGCACTGATTAGGGCCAATACCCTGCTCGTGTTATTAATAATTGTCTTAATAAGTATAGATATAATATTAACAGTCCTAGTCAAATTAGAGGTAGGGCCTTACTATTAATTAAATGAACTACTTCTACATAAATTACATGATTAAAATTATATACATATATTATATATACTAGGATTTGGTACCATTATGCAATACTTAAATTAAAAGGCTATATTTTAGATAATTAGGCAATCCTTCAAACGTCTGTTCCAAATTCAAAACACGAATAAAAACGAATCGAATGAGCAGTCACTTTAGCAGTTCAATAATGTTTTGGCAAATACATGGTGAAATCCAAATGTGACTCAACAATTGGATGAAAACAGGTTCTTTGAGCCTATTCCAACAACCCAAGAGCCGCAACGGCAACAACTACAATGATTTTTCCGAAGAAAATAATATGTTTCATCAGCCTCAACATAAATAGGTTGTTCAGTGGCATCAAGGCCTCAGCCCTCCAAGCTAAACTTGAGCTTGAAACCAATTTCGACATTCAATGCGGAAAAAGTTGATGTAGTTTACAATTTTGTCCCAACTTTCAACAATGACAATGCTGACAACATAAGTTATAGGCTATAGGATAAAATCGGGGAATTACTAATTTATTATTAATTATTAGTTTATTATTATTGTTTCAATTGTTTAAGTCAAAGACAATGTATTTTAAATCTCCGTACCTTATTCAGCCAGCCTCGAGAAAATTCGGTTGAAGTGACTTGAAGAATGTTGCTTGGACTTACTTAACTTTGTGACATGATCATTTATGATTATGACACACTTTTTACTTTAATTTCTATTTAGTGTATTTAGTATCATAAAATAAGACTCTTGAAATGTCATGAAGTCAGAAAAAAATATGGCGAGATGTTCTAATTCTCGAGCCGATAGAAATACTTTTTATTTTAAATTTCAATTCAACCATTTTCATTCTTTAATATTTAGTATTATTAATAATAAAATTATCAGTTAATAATACTTAAATTTATTAAGTTTCACTCAAAATTCAAAATCAATATTTTAGAAATTTCGTTTGAAAAAGGTATAAAGAATATATTGCAGAGAATAAATGTTCGATTATTTTCAAATTCACATAAAAATATGTTACAATACTGCTCTGCTAAACAATGTATGAACTTCGAATATTTTTTCGGTTGTTATTTGCACCTAGCAACAAAACATGGACATCTAGAAAGGAGCCATTCTTATTTGTAGTAGTTTGACCTTTGACCGTATTTGAACTGTACCCTTTTTTATTACATTTTTGTACATGTAGTGTGCTCAAATTATTAATTTGATATTATATTTTGAATTAGAATAATGAGAGTTCAAGCTTAATTCGTTTGTATGAATGAACCAATGAAATATTGGTATTGCAACGCCTGCCATTGGCTAATAGATTATGACAAGACTTTTCACAATTAATATCATGAGTACGGTGGCCGAGTGGTTAAGGCGTTGGACTTAAGATCCAATGGAATTATTTCCGCGTGGGTTCGAACCCCACCCGTACTAATAATTTTTTAATCCACCGGTATTTATTTTAAACCACAAATGTAATCAACATGGTAAAAAGAGCTTGGACATATTGGGTCCCCTGCGACTCTCGTATGCTAATTGTTTATTTGTATTTTGTTTGCTACAGTTAGTCCGCTGAATAAGGCATCTTGCCGACATCTTGTTTGTTTTGTCCTTTTTTTTTCTGGTTTTCCCATACTTTGGCTTATTTCTTCTAGGGCGAGCATGTGAAACTGAGGTTTCCTACACGATACGAATGTTCCCTTACTATACTATAAGCTGCGCGGCCGCAGCCGCGCAGCTATTTCACAGACGCCGCGCAGCAATTTTGAGTACCGCGCAGCAAATTTCCATGTAAGAGGGTTTTTGTGCTTGGGGCCGTCCATAAAGTACGTCACGCTCCAGAGGTGGGGGGGGGGGGGATATAAAAAAAAAGTGTGATGGGTTCAGGTCATGTGTGACGTCACACATTAATTTTTTTTAAAATTATATTTCTAATTTATTTTTTTTATTTTTTTTAGTAGAATTTAATAGTTTTAAAAATAATTTTCAAAAATTTTGTGAAACATTTGAATTAGTTTTATGTCAAATTAAATTGAAATGCGTATCTCCTGAATGTGTTGTTCACGATTCCTCTCGCTAGGAGCGCTAGTATGCTGTTGCGAAACCTTGTTTTATGTATAGCCTTGCCGAGATCAACAGGAGTTTTCAAAGTACGGTTCAACTTTATGATCTTTATTGTCCATCTTTGCAGACCAGCAGGGCCCTTCATAGGAGTTTGGGGGCCCTAAGCATGGAGCGTAGGTTGGGAGCCCCGGAAGTGGGGTACAGGGGTGGAGCTCTCTCGAGCTGATGAGAAAACGCCACCGACCACTGCGGCACCTCCATTCTGCCTTCATCAATGTTTCCTCTTTGCTCGCGTGTAACCACTAACCATATTGATAATTCAGCCACTAGAGGAAAATGTGAACTTCTGAAATATATGGACATGCAGGCGGTGGTGGGGCCCTAGGCGGTTGTCTAGTTTGCCTATATGCCTAAGAATGGCTCTGGTGGCACTTATTTCATTTTGAGGAAGGAGATCGCCCCCGGCTATCAATAATTTGTTTGTGTGTGCATCATTGCTATATCCCTTAGGTGTTAAGCGGCCCTAAGCAGGGGTCCAGAGGACGGAGCCCCCCGGAAGCTCCGCGAAAATGCGTGAAAATTAGACCAAGACGACGTTTTCCTGTAACGTTACGAGGTCATCTCCCTGCGTCTCTTTTTCGTCCCCTCGGAGTAATTAGCTGCTACAATTGAGCCAGCTTGAACTGTTTGCACAGGCGCCTCACGGGGGCCCCCTCACGTTCGGGGCCCTACGCGGATGCGTAGTCAGCGTATGCCTAAGAACGGGCCTGTCGGGAGAATGTGCCAACCCAAACTGTTGCAGAATCAACTCAGATAAAACGCATCAGTCCTTTGAGAATCGCTGCTAGAAGGCAAAGAGAACTCATGGCAGTTATTGCCAGAAGAGAAAATGCACATTCAGAGGATGTTGAGTGGCTAGATGGGGATGAAGTTGATCTGTCTGCAATTATCCTTCCAAACTTCCAGGAAACAATGATGGTGAAAGATTGATGCCAGTCGTAACTATAGATGAACACTTCACTTCACCATGGATGGATGATGTCCAGTGAATATTTTTGAATTAAACATAATTCACAGGCCCGTAATAAACAGATTCAATATAGCACAAGAGTTTGTCACATAATTTGTCGATCTAGTCTTTTTTTAGTCAAATTGTTTTGTTTCCTTTTTATTATTTAATCTCTGGGTGAGGTCAAGTTTCGCTAATTTACTTCTTATACTATGTAAAAAGATTGCATAATCGGAAATTATCTAAAACTTGACCTCACCTTTTGTAAATGAAAAAGCAGCGGATAAATAATGTGTATTATATAATTGTCTAGTCTAATTTTTGCAATTTTTGTTTTCAAATTTAATCTAGATTGAATTACTGCTTCAATGAATAACGGTGACAACTTTTGACAATAACTATTCTACTATTAAAGTAATCTTATTAATGTGATAGTTCTTTTAAGTGGAAATGTTATATTTTAATACAGTTTAATAGTGAAGTGTGTTTTAGATTAAATTTTAAT